GAGGACAATAGGCACCGTCGTTCGAGGATGAAAGGCCCCTTTGTGCTCCTTTTGTTGTCTGTCCTCGAGCGTAATACAATACAGGAACACATGTGTGTAAATGCCAGCAATCGTGGACGCCCCATTGTCCATAATCCTCTTTCCTTTGTTTGTACTCTTTGGCGACAGCTCTCATTGGTTTTGTACACGATTTGATATCGTGGACATTCGGTCAATCGTGGACGTATTGTTTGCACCCCAATTCTTTTGGCCTACGTCCACAATTGCCAGTGTTTACATACTCGCGCTTACATAGGCATAGAAGTGGGGTACTTCCTTTGTTCTCGTGTACTAAAATTTGCAAGGTCGCACACTTATGTCAAAATGCTCTTATTTTGACCATAGTTAATTTCCTGGGCTGAAATTCAGTCTTAATATCCCTTTTCAGAAACTCTTCCATTTGCGACGGATCAACCCACCTTGGACATTCCTTGTTTTTGAGTAAAATCCATATATCTATTTCGTGAAAAACTTGTGGGGTACCAAAACGGTACCCCGCAAGTCGGTGGGCATTCCTTGTGGGGTACCTCCCATTGTTCCGGTACCCCACAAGGCAGTGTTTGTACACGCACACACACACACCCACGCACACCCACCCATGTTTGTTTTACATACGCTATGTGGACATTCCTTTGTTTTCGTGTAGTTAAGAAAACTCGGTACAAAAAATAACTTTACTTTAACTGTGAAAACTCTTTCAACCCAATTTTTTTTTCTATGATTCCCTTTAGTGTTTCTCTTCATTTTGCCACGGATAAACTTAACCCAAAAATGCCTCTAAACCTGTTTTCCAGAGAGGGCGAAATGTTATGTGGACATGGCTTAGTCCACATAACGTCAACACAACCTGCTTTATGTGGACGTCTTTTGTTCACAAGTCCACATAGTGAATGTAAGACAAACTCACACACCCAGTCGTGTTTTACTATACTCTCGAGGACAATGCTTTGTCTTTTCCTTTGTCCCTGTAATATAACACTCTCCCATAGACTAAGCACACAAACGCACGACCAAGGACCGATTTCAACAAAAGATGAACTCTCGAGGACAACAAAGAATCTGTTGTTCTTCCTTTGTCTGTCTGTCCTCAGGGTGTATATACATGTAGTTCACGTACACACCCACACACCCACCCACGGAAGGACAAGGCGGAAACAGTATGCCCCTTTGGCTTCGCCGCGGGGTATACAAAAAGTTATTATAAAGGAAAATATCTCGAATGGACGCAACAAAATAATAGGGAAACAAATATGTAAATGCAAACTAACAACGAACAACACTATTTATTCATTCATTCATTAAAAGACAGCAATTGTTTTAAAAACAATCATAGTTTTGTTTCATAATCCCATACTTTTTATCTTCCCAGGCATAATAATCGCAGTGCAGGCTTATTACCATTAGACATTTTGCTATAATTAGCCGCTTAAAGGGCTCCGTTTCCAAGAATACAAACTTTATTGTATCTCGAAATGCAGTGTTTTTGGTATCCTGTAGACCGTCGTCTTTTAAAGAAAGTGTACCGCACATGTTTGAAATGGTTCATATTTTTATTTTATTATGATCCTAATCATCACTCTCCAGGGCACACTTTATTTCAGTATAGGCTCATTCCAATGAGGTTTTTTGCTCTAATTAGCCACTTAAATGGGCTCCGTTTTCAAGAATATCTTGAAATGCAGTATTTCGGGTCTCCCATAGAACGTAGTTTTTAAAGAAAATGTACCGCACATGTTTTGAATAAATAATATTTTTATTTAATAATCCTTATTTTTACCCACTTCATTTCAGTATGGGTTTTTTTCCAATACGGTCATCTGCTCTAATTAGCTGCTGCTTGAAGGGACTCCGTCTTCGAGAATATCTCGAAATGCCGTAGGCCTATTGTGGAATTCCTATAAAACGCTGGTTTTGAAGGAAAATATATCGCACGTTTTAAATAAATCCCAGTCTGTTTAGGCTTATATATACGCCGCGCAGACCTAGCCTAGTACTCCGTTCATTTTAACAATTATAACTCCACACACATAAAAATACATAAAGGTGAAGTAGTTTCGGTTATCTCTTTTTAGTCATCATTATAATGTTGCAGTGCCGTTAGTTTGTTTTGAAAGCTGACGGAAAGCGCGCGAAACAGAAGATCCCCGGTTCCCTAAAGGGCCATTCAATTATTAAGACGAGTTTGTGGGTAACCAATAACCTGATTATTCCTAACTTCATCAGATGATAGATGTGCACTGTCCTGATATACCAAGCGTTGAATAAATTATTCGTCAGTGTGCAAGAAACAATTTTTTCAACATGTGCCGATTCGTCACTTAGTGGGTTTCGGAACAACAAAAATGAAGTGTTTTCATGAATTAAAAACCTAAAAATATGACAATTCAAATATTTTGAATCCTAAAACTCAACTAAATAAAAAAACACCAAAATGGCCCATTCGTCACTTCGTCAGATATGCGACGTTTTATCACATTATTTGGTTGATATATACCCTTTTCCCCTGTTTTTACCAATTTTGGCAGCCATACTGGCCGCCATCTTGGATATAGCCTTCGCATCGTTTTTTTCTTCTTCTGTTAACATCCAAAATGTGTTTGAAGACCCTTATCCCTTTCCTTACCATGGGCGACTTTTGTCGACAAGAAGAACCCCCCTGCTGGTTCCCATGGGCGACTTTAGTCGACCAGGAAACCACACACAGAACACCCTCAACACTGATAAATTCACTACTTTTCAGAAAGGTGGCATGTTGATATGTTTGGCCGTCCATGCATCAACCATATATCAGCTGAAAGAGCATTTTCGGATCATTCTAATGGTGTAGTTTATTCATAGTGAAGCCATTACAAAAAAATGAGAAAAGTGCTTCAGAAGTATCCACGCACAAATTGAGGTATGGAGTGCCATTTGGTCATGTGGTGAAATGGCTTGCAGTTTGATAAATGGGACCAGATGAACAAAAAGGCATAACTTTCTTATATTTACACATATGGACTTCATTTTTACATCACATACAAGAGTAAGGTTCAAGGAACAAACTTTACACACGACACCTATGATTTAAATCACTCCTTTGCAGTGAAAATCTGGGTTGAAAAAGGTGAGATTTGGACTTGTGGTCATTTTGTTCACGCTCTAGTGATTTCTGCATGACTGAGCAAACAATTTGGTCCCGGGGAGAGCCAAGTCAATAAACAATGTGGTAATGATAGGGTTAAAGGCACCCCAAAAAATTGGTGAAAGTTATCGGGGGGGGGGGGGGCCATATATACTCAACTATAATTTGTGTATCCGGGACGCGTTAGTAATTCGTGGGAACGAATTATTAATTCGTGCAAACGAAATAGCAATTCGTGCGAACGAAATAACTATTTGTGCAAACGAAATAACAATTTGTGCGAACGAATTAGCAATTCGTGCGAACGAATTAGCAAAATCCCAAAAAAAATTCCACCCTGTTCCTTCCCGGGCTTCATACAAACCCATTAAAGGGAATATACATCATTTGCTTTTGCTGTAATTTTCAGAAATGGATGGAATTGGGGGGTTGGAAATATATAGCAAATATAGTTACACTGACTTTTTGAGGTTTTGGGTTCAAAAATGCTATAAAAACCAAGAAAAACAATCATTTTCCTGTAGTCTGGTTCCCTGACTCCATATAAGAAGAAACAGAGCAGTTTACATACATTGGGGAATTGTAAGGTCAGGGAACCAGTCTAGCTGGCTTGTACCCGTTCATAGGTGTGTAATCGATTGCAAACAAGTGCGATGGTCAATTGGGGCCAGTATTTGAAAAAAAAAGCCAGTTTTTTTCCAACGCTGATCGGCCGACCAGCGTTGGAAATTGATACAAAAATACCACTTTTCTTGAAAATGACAGTATACCAGGTGCCATGATTTTACAGGATGCTTTACACTGTCATTCACGAACAGTCCAGCAAGGTATTTCAAAATGATTTGGTAGTTTTATTTTTTGATGTTTGCAAATGTTGTATTTTCCCTTTAAAGACCATATATATCAGATAAAAGAGGGCATTATCATAAGAAATTGACCTCAAAATACACTTTTTAACCTGATTTGATATTCTGCCTTCTGAGAATGGCCTTTAGATTAAATCTGAAGATAGCTCCTTCTATTGCACTGTATAGTGACAAAATGAAGATGTCTTACAGAGATTCAGGTTTTATTAAGGGAATAAATGTGTGTTTTGGAGGTAATATAACACTCTGTTTTTGGAGTCCGGTCTTAAACAGAGTGTTTAATACCGACCAAAAACATATTTATTCCCATTCATAAATACATTTGTGGTCCAAAAAAAAAATCTTTTTGGTCCAAAAATCAAAACAAGCCAAACACTAGACGTTGCCAACCATTTTGTTCAACAATTTTACTTCATGTTTTATGAAACACCCCTCAGACTATAATATGGAATGTTCCTCTACAACTCCTTACCTTATAAGGAGATTGGCGCGTGCGTATAGCGCGATGTCGCACAGAATGCACCTGGGGCATTGCGTTGTGAATTTAGGACTATAAAATACTGACTCACTGGTAGTATTGCGCATGCCTACGTGAGGATTGTGAACGTTCAACCAATACAACGGTAAGAGGCACTGGATTTTTAGGAGTCCAAATTTCATGTGATTAAGAACAGCCAGCCATGTCTTTATCATCCATTTAAGACCGGCCACATGACGGGCTCTCGACCAATAGGAATGGTAAACTGTCTTAGGTATTTATGAATACACTGTTTGAAGTACATGTATTAAACTGACAAGGAAAATCACATGCCCCATCAATAATAACTTTTGTTGCTTATGCCAACCTACATGTAGCTCACTAGGTCTAACAAAATTTAAGAAAATAACCTTAAACTGTTTTCTGGGTGTGACTTGTGAAATAGACATGTTAATTGCAAACTGCTTTTATAACAGCCTTTTGTAGTAATACTTACATTGAATGCTAACCATGCAACAAGTCTGAAGCATCTTCTGATTTGCAGGAAAAATTCCTTGATTTTTGCTGAAAGAGGTAAAACGATTTCTTCATCTTTGTCAGTGGTCAACAATGCATCCCTGCTGCTTTGACTGCTGCTTTGACTGTGTGATGATGTTTCACTGAGCACCTCTCGCTGCACTCGTAAAATATCTAAAAATAGAGACAACGATAACACATTGAGTAAAAAAAGTCAGTCCCGGCACCATGTGGCGTTCGCCACTGTGCGGCACCCTGTGGCGTTCTCGACTGTGCTGGGGGACACGGGTAATTCAAACCCACTGCCCCGTGTTCGGTGATAGGATGGAGGGTGTAGTGCAGCCCATGTCTGGACTACGTTTACCTTGCCGACCCTTCTTAGGTTTGGCTCTGGCACAGGAGTGTAATTTAATAACTTTGCCAGAGCAGCCCTTTCTGTTTGGTTGTTCCGACTAAGCTGGCCGGAGATGGAGACTGTTTGAGGTCCCCTACTCGGCCAACGGAGCTGCTGACGCGGTAACAAGTGCTGCAACTGATCCTCAAAGTTCGGTTCGCTTCCGTTCGGTTGTGGTTCGATTTTTTTTCTCCGAACTTTGGTTCGGTTCGGCTTTGGAAGTGCGTAATGTACATGTCCATGGTACAATGTACTGGGCTACAATGAAAAGCATATAGGCCGTTCCCCTGTTCGAACAAACACGTGTGCAACGCGCACGTCTGACAGAAATAGGCACAACAATTTCCACATGCTTTACAACACAAGTTGACGGATGGAATCTTATTTTTGTTGTGTAAACAAAATACCGTTATAATTTTAGTTGATGACGTTGAGAAATGAACATCATAAATTGCTACCGTGTTACCCATCGCAGCCCTATCCGACCCGGGAACTATGATAAAATTTTCCCCGCACACATGCTGACGGTTTTCCCGACGAGTTCCGTCCCGTCCGAGCATGCCCTGAGAGCACTAAAAACTTGCTTCGTGACAATAATTGCTGATTAGTTTTGATCTAAGAACAAACAGGTCCTTTTACTGTGCCAAACTTTTGAAATCATAATTATTTTATCAACAAGCTGACAAGTAGCTACCATAACCTTTTCGATTCACCCATGAATATTCATTCTGTGGACGGATCCAATAATTTTGTAAAGGGGTGTTTCACCCTCTTTTGGGAGATTACATCGTTTTTCGTATACATTCTTTACAAAAAAAAATATATTGTGAAAATTAAGAACTTATACTGAACATGGGAAAGAATTCCGACTCCATAAAAAGTATTTTTAAATGTTGACAAGGTAAAGAAAATGAAAATGCTGGTAACTTGTGCCGAGGAAAGCGCACCCTCCACCGCAAATGGTCTCCTGCCCCATTCCATTGAGAGAATTGCAGGTACGTACGATTTTTTCAAGGTGTATCGGCCCATTATTCTCTTGTATGCCTGTCTAGAACATCGTAAATAATGAAGATGAATGCTGAGACTTTTCAACATGGTAAATTCAATCATCCGTGCACGTTAATTTTGCCCTTTCATTGCAAGCCTTAGGATTCTTAGCGCCATCAACAATTTTTTACCGAACTCTTCCGAACAGACTTTTGGATTCGGTTCGGTTCGGAAGGCCAAGTTCTGTTACTTTTAGTTCGGTTCGGCGGTTCAGCTGCAGCACTAGCGATAACGGCGCAGCATTACCGGCAGAGTCCCCCGAGAACTTGGTCTGTCCCAGGGGAGATTCCCTTCTCCCAGTTGTGACAGGCCAGTTAAAATAATCTCACTACCACACTACACTACACTACAACTCATCTTCAAACTCTTATATCAAAAACTTCTCTTAAGCGATAAAGGGCAGTAGAAAAAAAAAAGAGTAATGATACGAGCATATTATAAACATGTCCTAACCGACCTGCCGCTTAGAGAAAAGAGGACGCTCACGTGGCATACATGCTGCGGGGCACTATGGGTAGGGCACCAGAGGGCACTATTGTGTAAACTCTTAGCGTAAATACCTACTGGTCTAGGGAAATATGCAAAGAAGTAGATTGCTCTGCAGGTAAGATGAGTGACGTAGACAGCAAAATGTTAGAGAACCGCAGGAACTTAAATATTGGGTTTTGCCCTTCACTGATGTATTTTACAAACACTGTATACTCTGTGTTGTCCCGAGTAATTGTGAGAAAAAAATCACTCAGGTAGGACTCGAACCCATGACCTCCTGATTACTAGTGCAGACTTCTTACCACTCAACCATCGATCTTGCCGAGTTGGCTGGCCAGTTGGTTTGTGGTAACCTCAGGAACATTTGGTTACAACAAACTGGTTTTTATTATTTGATTTCCCTCATAATGTGTGATTTTTTTTTCTTCAAAATTCTGTCTTTTGAGTTAAAAGACATGTAGGAACATTGGTCAAAATGTGGAAAAGCAGCTACTGATTTCATGAGAAAATCTGCCTCAAAATGAAGACAGGGATGGTTCTAAGTACCCCGTGAAATTAGTTCACCTGAAATGGTATCGTTTATAAGAAAACAATAATTGAAGGTGGTTTTAAAACATGGGCACACTTTTGTATGTGCTTTTGCAAAGGAATCCGGTTACAAGACCCGAAAATGTCTGCAAATGCTGTCTCTGTTTTCTCCAAAATGTATAGTTGACACTGAGCTATAGTGGCTGTTTGTGGAACACCATTGACAATGAAATAACCCAGTAGAACAATGCTGTCCTTGGGCCATTTTAATCCTTATACAAAAGGGCGCTCCTATCACAATATGAAACATAGCTTTCCCTCCTTAGTCACACTCCTTAGCTTCACTCTTTCATTAGTCACACGGTTTTCATATAAGGTGTCATCTCTATTATTGATCTAATCCTCATTGTAATTATTCTTTTTGTCTCCATCTTCAGTGTCCGGTCTCGTGTTTTTTGTTTTGTTTTTGTTTGTTTGTTTTTTGGTGTTTACTCCTATTGTCTGTGTAAACTGTCCCGGGTGTCTGTGTCTGTGTAAAGTTGTTCTCTACAAGCCAAGGTTTATATTGGTTTTATTGACAAACTTAAGTTGAACTGCTTGTAGAAAGTATGGAAATAAATGTTGCTATTGAACTGAATTAAATTGAATTGAGTTAAAACTTCCACATGCTAGTTGTTATGCACCCATCTTCAGATTTGGATCAATTTTTGGTGCTTCAAAGGGGGAACAAGCACACAAAACAAATGATCCCAAGTAACTTTAACTTGTGATGCAGAAAGACATACCTGTGGTATTTATCAACAGTGGAGTTGTCTGGTCATCAACTGAGGATCTGTTGCATATTTGTCTTTGCTTAGCAGGTTTAGCACGCTCTTTGATTAGACGTAATGATACTGCAAGGTATACAACCACTGCTGGTACAATACTGATGAATGCCCACCTGAATAATTGCCAAGAAAACCATCTCATTCATTACATATCACATGTTGAATCCCTTAGAAACAAGAGGGGAGGGACCACCTCCTCTTTTGTGTTGGTCATTATGTTTCCGTTATCGCAGTTATCGAGTTTGTTTGAGATATCTAGGGGGTGCCGCTGCTTGAAGTATCGGCACATTCTGGGAATGGACTGGTTCTAGTTTGTGATACCATGTAAACATCGTACAGTGGGAATAGCGAAACCAGATTCATTTCTTGCATGCAGTATATACATCGGTTGCTTGGCTGCTTGCAATTTACGTTGGTTCAGCCAATTTTTCCAGGCGTGTCAAATTGGTCAAAACCCGTATTTTATGGGGAAAAAACGTACAGTCGTATTTTCAACAAATTCCCGTACGAAATACGGCAGAATTGTATTAGTTGGCAGGTCTGAGGATTGGACCTTGTCTTTATTGCAAAGAAAAGCAACATTGCCCCTTTGATGAGGACTTGATGTCACACAATTCGTTATTATTAGTATTTTTTTTAGCTGTTTCAGAGTACCAACTCTGAAACACCTCTTGTTTTTGTTTAAGATTTGTTTTCCCTTTTTTTTTTCTTTTTCAGACTCCTCAATGTAGGTTTTGTCCACGGTTTTCTTCTACCCATACACTTGGCACTTTCGTAAATCCGATCGACTTCAAACTTGGCACACTCATACACAACCACCCTTAGATGTATGCCGAAGATTTGTCAGGATGACGTCATCAGGTGTCAAGTTACTCACATTAAAGGTGCATTTTTTCTTCATAGGGTTTGTACATGTTTTTCTTCCAACTCTACACTTTGGCACTTTTAAATGTGTAATTGACTTTAGACTTTTTTTTTTTTTTTTTTTTTTTACATTAATAAGGCAAACACTGTGCTGCATGATGAACAGGCATTATCTGCATCACTGTCATGTCAACCAAGCATATGGGCGCAAAAGTTCAAATCAGAAATTTAAGAAAATGACCATAAATAATCTGTGACTTACTTATCCAGGTTCCGCATATCTTGGGAATGTTCCTCACCATTAATAAAGCAACCTAGTGAAATAAAAATGATTTATTAAATGGCTTCAAAATATTTTTAAAGTGCTTGTTGGGACACGGTAGGCTTCTAGTATTTAAATATTGACTGCTTCGAGTGGTGTGGTAAAACTAGCCTCCAAAGGTGATCCATGGAATGTTCTGTTTTCCCGAGGCATTTTCGTTTATTTAAAAAACATCATGCTAATAATATGCATTTTTTAATTGTAAAAACAAAAAATAAAAATCTCCTTTCTTTAAAGGAAGAGTATATTATTTGCAGCTATCCAAAAAGTAACTGCAGAAATTATTGTTGAAAAGCGTACTTGGTTTAGGGGCCGTTCACAATTATCAACATTTTCACGAGCGTACAAACCGTACGCTGGGGGGGAGGGGGTTAATGGCCGCCGTACGCTTTTTTCTTTTTTGTAAATGTCGATATGTTTTCTCGCCCGTTAATGCCCGCCTATAAACGCTGGTTTTTTTTTTGTTTAATGTCGATCTGTTTTCTCGCCCGTCGCCACAGCCGACAGCCGCAATCGATGCCGATCGAGCACTTGCCGAGCCGATCGCGCCCCGCGCCAGGCCCCGCATTGCATCCCATGAACGTATTGTGTACAGCATGCGCGGCATTGTCCTACACACGTACATGAAAATGTACTTTGTATGTACATGTATAGTCCGTATCCACTGCGTGTTTTTAACGGCCGGTGTCACATGTCATGGCCAAAAACTTGATCTACAAAAGTTACAAAAACCCTTGCAAGTGTCTATATATAGACTTGTGTGAAAAAAAAATCAACATTTTTTTCGTACACTTTTAGGGGGGAGGGGGTCTTGAAAAAGTGTACTCTTTGTACACTTGTGAAAATGTTGATAATTGTGAACGGCCCCTTAAAGATTGTAATGGCACTAATAATTTCCGTAAGAAATTATTCTTTCTTGCATGCTGTCGTATTGAAAAAAAAAAATACAAGAAGGTCAATTCAAAAGATGCGTCTAAAGATGTTTTTTGGGTGGAAATTTCATTACTAGTTTGTTTTTAATTCAGTGAAGCCGAGAATGTGTGCATGCAAGCGTTGATGCATGCGCAGTTGCTATAATTTGTCGGTTCAGTGCGTGACATTATGTAGCTGCAATTGGCTGAATGAGCATGTGTCCTGGACGCTGAATTCGGGCGCCATTCAAAACATGACAAAGCAACATTGAATTGAAACTGAGATCCTAGAATATTTTTTTTCTTTGAATGTAAAGCATTCACGGAGCAAAAACTTCTTCCGGTAAGTTGTCAAGCACCCTTCTTTAGATTTTGATTACTTACAAAAAAAGCACAAATGACAAATGATGTACTCTACCTTTAATCAGTATCACTGGCTGCCTTTTAGGCGAGCGGGCGAACCTTTGAAAAGAGGCTTATTTCAGGAGTTTAAATGCCCCAGCCTACACACACCTACACCATACATCATTAGAAAGCTTAATGTGTCTACTAAGGCATGATGTGGAGCTTGGAAATTGGGAGAAATGTGTTTTTGGCTCATTTGGGTCTAAAAAGTCACATTTGTGGTCAAAAATATGATTTTCAAAATGTGGTATTTTTGATATCTGTGAAACCAGCCTCAACCATCGAGGCAAGTTTGAGACCAAATCGACGTTCCATAACTTCAAAATAGCCATCTACAGATTACAAAATATACAGTAACTATTGGCAATATTGAGTGAAAATGTGCACTTTTCTCAGAATCGTTTTTCTACGAGCAACATGAAGGTACAATTTTGGTTATTAGCCAATTGCCCAACACCAAACACACCTACATCATACATCATTAGAAAGCTTAACATGTCTACTTTCAGATTAGGCATGATGTGGAGCTGTAAAACTGGGAGAATTGTGTTTTTATGGCTCATTTTGGTCTAAAAGTCACATTTAAAAAAAAATATGATTTTACAAATTTGGTATTTTATATACCTATGGGACCAGCCCGAACCATCGAGGAAAGTTTTAGACCAAATTGACGTTCAATAAATTCACAACTACCCATATTAAGATTACAAAATGTACAGTAACTATAGGCAGTATTGAGTGAAAATGTGCATATTTCTCAAAATAGTGTTTTTTAAAAGCAACACTAAGGTAAAATGTGACCCGCTCCACAAAAATGAGTCTGTTGTGGCAAAACAGAAATTTTGAGTTAACTACATTAATAAAATGGGAATGAAATAAGCTTTCATTTGGTATATCATGGGCCTCTCTAGGACATTTGGTTGCACTGTTGTGCCTTTTTTAATTCTGTCAAGTTTTTGCAAAGCAAGAAATGTCTCAATGAAGAAAAAAGGGTTTAAAAATTACAAATACACTGTAACTAACCAAGAAAAGCACCAAAAATCATAAATTTGTTAGTCTTTTTCTTACAATATTCAAATGTCTGTGTAAGATATCTGAACTAAAACTATCAAACAACCAAAATAAAACAAAAACAAAAAAATCCAAATTTTGAGCAAATTTTCACTGTTTCCATTTAAAAGTGGTAAAAGCTGGAATTCAAGCTATGCGACATCAGACTCATTTTTGCAGAGCGGGTCACAAATGTTTGTTATTTGTCCATTGCCCAACACCACACACACCTACACCATACATCATTGGAAAGCTTAATATGTCTGCTTTAAGAATAGGTATGATGTGGAGCTGTCCAATTGGGAGGACTGTGGTGTATTTTTTTTACCCTTTTTGGTCTAAAAGTCTCATTTTGGGTCAAAATATGATTTTGTTATTTTTTATATCTGTAAGACCAGGCTCATCCACGAAGGCAATTTTTATACCAAATTGATGTTCCATAAATTCACAATTACCATACCAGGATTTCAAAATGTACAGTAACTATAGGCAGTATTGAGTGGAATTGTACACTTTTCTCACAATTGTGTTTCTGAAAGCACTATTAAGGTAAACTTTTGCTTTATTACTGAACTCATGCTCGTTTTTGAACTTTATGAATGTGAAAATAGTAGATAGATCTTTCTCATTCATAATAATGGTACATACTGTGAAGCTGCAAAGTTCGGTCGAATGTATTATTGGGCCATTATTTGGTAAAAAATACTCATTTTTGGTCCACAATATGATCTTTAAGACATTAGTATTTTTGTATATCTGTGGAAAAATCCTTATCCTTGAAAGCAAGTTTTAGACCAAATTGAGGCTCCATTAATTCACAATTACCATTTTAAGATAACAAAATTTACGGTATATATAGGCAACATTTTGTAAAAATGTGCATTTTGTTTCAAAATCGTGTTCCTAAAGGCAACACAACTGGTGAAATTTGGTTATTTAGCAAAATCATGCCTTTTTGTGAGCAAAGTAAATGTGAAAATGGATGACAGATGATTTGCACAATATCTTGAGTACGGCTGAGTTTATTTTCTGGCCATTGGACTTAATAATTGTAGACATCTATGGAGCAAGTCCCATCTATGGAAGCAAGTTTTACAGCTAAATGTTTATGACAGGCATCTTAAGGTTACAAAATGTACAGTAACTGAAGGCACTATTGAGTCAAAGTAGTTTTCTCAACATCGTATTTCTAAAAGCAAAGTAAAAGTAGAACTGCTCAAATGTTTTATTTAGGCATGAGATGGAACTGATGAGTGAAATTATTTTGACAAGAATATGATTTTTTTTCTGGCATGAACTCTTATCAGTGCTGGAGGTTCTCTGATATAAATCTGAAAAAGTCCATCACTTGTAGCAGTGTTGAAGATGTGGCAGGTCTGTTTAGTTCACAAGACAGAAGAAGATGATACCAGAATGTGTCTGCATGTTTCATCCTCAATCATCAAGTCCCTGGACACACGGTTCTCGCAGCCAACTACTTTCCCAGAATGGAATCACTGGATTCTAACTTCTGCCTTATTCTTCCTGCTGTTCACTGATCGGATATAAAGTCTTCCCCATTTGGATTTGGCAAGAAGGTTTTGAATATTCTGAAGGCCAAGGGTACAGTGTAAGTGCTTTGCAGATCTCTCCAAACCGGCAGAAAAGGAGGAAAAGGTGCCAATAAATGCAGTAATAAAATAGTTAGTGGCAAAAGCCGTATGACCAGAGCGTGAAGGGTAATGAAGATAATGTGGAATATATTTAAGGTCAAAGGTCATAGATCACAGGTCAAATGAGGTCAATTATGATGCAATTCGAAAAAGTTTTGGTTCAGTTTTTAAAAAGATGTCAACTTCTACATGCTATTAATGGCTTTGATGCAACTTGGAAACAGTGACCCTTGGATATAAAGACACAATTCTTCATCGGATTACTGAGGTCAAAGGTTATGCAGGGGTCATTTTAGGTCATTGTTCAAATATGCTTCAAATTTTCTTTGTCAACAGAATGTGATGGATTTTCACGTAACTTAATTGTATGGAGTGTTCCTTTATTGTAAGCGGGTTCATCACATGCGGTCTGCGAACCACTTGTTCACAAAACTAGCCAGAAAATACACTTGGCCGAATTTTGCAGCTTCACACTAGAGTAATTATGAATGTAAATGATATATCAACCATATTCACATTTTTATTTAGCTCGGAACACAGGCACAAAAGTTTAGTAAATAACAAAAACGTTACCTTCATGTTGTTTTTCTAGAAATACGATTGTGAAAAAAATGCACATTTGCACTCAATACTGCCTATAGTTACTGTACATTTTGTAATCTTAGAAGGGTAATTATGGACTTATAGCAACTCAATTTTGTCCAAAAATTGCCTTCGTGGATGAGGCTGATGATCCAGATATAAAAAACACAAATATCTTAAAAATCAAATGTTTGACAAAAAATGAGACTTTTAGACCAAAACGGGTCGTGAAACATATTTTTCCCAATTAGGTAGCTCTGCATCATGCCAGTACCTAGTCTTAAATTAGACTCAATTTTGTCCAAAAATTGCCTTCATGGATGAAGCTGATGATCCAGATATAAAAAACACAAATATCTTAAAAATCAAATGTTTGACAAAAAATGAGACTTTTAGACCAAAATGGGCCGTGAAACACATTTTTCCAATTAGGTAGCTCCGCATCATGGCGGTACCTAGTCTTAAATTAGACATATTAGGCTTTCTAATGATGTATGGTGTAGGTGTGTGTGGTGTTGGGCAATGGACAAATAACAAACATTTTACCTTAGTGCTGCTCTTAGAAACACGATTTTGAGAAAAATGCACATTTTCACTCAATACTGCCTATAGTTATTTGTAATCTTAATATGGTAATCGTGAATTTATAAAACGTCAATTTGGTCTAAAACTTGCCTCGATGGTTCAGGCTGGTCCCACAGATATATGTAATACTAAATTTGTAAATCATATTTTTGACCAAAACAGTGACTTTTAGACCAAAATGGCCCCCAAAACCACATTTCTCCCAATTTCCAAACTCCACATCATGCCTAATCTGAAAGAAAACATATTAGGGCATTTAAGTCGACCAAAATTTGGATTCCGCCGCTCGCCTATTAGTCTTCATCAAGATTTGTTTCTTTCTCAGACACCTGTCCATAGTGCCTGGCACTTCAATCCGACAGCATTTATACTTGCCACACACATAGACCTGCATCTATAAATCATTTTTGATGCATTTTGAAAGATTTTATATTTTCTTTTACTGACAAAATTTCAATACATTTCCTGGATTCAGATTAATCTGAATCTTGGCACAAAGACAAACAAAACTGCTGTGCTTAGTAGTATTGCGAGGTTCCCTCGGTTCCCTCGGTTCCCTGGTTCTACCCGGTTCCAATACGAGAACTGGAAACGCAAGTCCATTTTTTTTCAAAAACTGGGAACCCGCTATTCTCGGTTCCAGCTCCAAAAGAATCAGTTCCAGATTAAATAACCCATTCTCTGTGCACAAAACCCAGAGCCAAGAATCGGCTACATGTCATGTAGGAATTCAACACAGGGACATCATTCAATCTTGCTAGTCAAAACAACGGCGAGGAAAAACCACAGACTCCAAATACATCGCCGGAGATCGGAGACAATCCGCCCTACAATGTTTGCGGTCGGGCCACGAGGCGTGCATGCATGCCCAATACTAGTCTGTTTGGACAATCAGTGTAACGTGAATTTAGGTTTATAAAATACGGACCCCATGGTGGTATTGCGCATGCTCCTGCATAGATAATTAGAAAAATGAATAATCACAAAAAAGGAGTCCGTTGTTCACATAAGTCAATTTTTTTGTCACACCGGCTCTGAGTGCTGGAATCGGCTCTGATGTCCCCGGCTCCGATGAGTGCCGCGGGAATCGGCTCTGCGCACGGACCCGTACTCGTGTACTGGTGCACCAATGGGTACAGCACAGTTTTGAGATTTGGATTTCGTGAGCAGTGGGCCGGGGTACATGTAAAAAATCCCCAGCTCCATACGAGTCTCGAATCTACCGTTGCATGAAAATGATTCCTATGCTTCATTTCTAAAACTTCTTTCTGATATCGGCGCACATGGTGAAAAATAGGCTGCTTTACCTGCTAGATAATAAAGCCAACCGCCCACGACTCGTTCGAATCAGCCAGGGTAAATTTGTACACGGATTCCAGCACTCGACCGGGGTTCCATGTTCATTGAAAGCAAGGTACCAGTGTATACGTAGCGAGTGCGTGTGCTTGTGCTGTGCAGTGAATCGTTTAGTCTCGGCGGCATGATGATGGTGTTCGCCGCGGTAAATAAAATCATGGGAAAGGAACAGAGAATAAAGTAATAATCTCGCAGTTTCACAGGAAACTTTTTGAAAACAAACATAGTAGAATAACATGTACAAGGTGACACAGTTATTCTTTACATGTAGTTTCTAGAGCTTATGTTGTTCATTGAATTTTCCGGGAGCCGATTCCGACTCGGAACCGGCTCTTTTTTGGGAACCGGAACCGGCTCCAGGAAGATTGGAACTGCTCAAGCCTAGTGCTTAGCCACGTGACAAACACATTTCTAGTTTATTATTAATTCTTGTAGATATTTGGCATTGGAAAAAGATAGGAAGTTCCAAGTTGCTTTCAGAACATGTTGCTGTATTTATTAATTTATACATTTTAATTTTGAAGAAACTTACCAAAAAGAACATACAAAAACGCTCCCAGAAGCCCTGCTAAGCCATAGCCACTGGCCCAAGCTGTCACATTGTGGCTGTCAAACCTTGATAGATAGCCTAGTGCAACACTAAAGAAAAAAAAAATCATGTTCTGAATTAATTCTTTCATTTTGTATATGGAAATTAAAAAGTCAACTCCTGATAATGGTCTATTATCACAACAGCCAATGATTGTTTTGTTATACCATGGTTGTATTGTTTTTTGACTTTTTGTAATTTTTTTCGTCTTTTGTAAGTACTGATATATATTTTTTGGACATCCCTACCGATGCATTTTAGTTAAAGAGTCTAATGCTTTGGTCTTTATTGAAATGGGCGTGTGCATTTGATAAGTCTGCATTGACAAGTGCACACGCCCCAGGTAACTTGCACACAGGGTCTATTCTAGCGGAGTTGTCCAAAGCAGCAGGGACAAAAATGTTCAATAGTCTTGGGTGATACAGTGGAATGCCGCTATATAATGAACATCACGGGATCCACAGAAAACGTTCCTTATAATGATCATTCAGTGTACAGGTAGCAATTTTGAGCTGCCGGTACTTAAATGGCGTTTCTGTTTAAAGGGAATATACATCATTTGCTTTTGCTGTAATTTTCAGAAATGGATTGAATTGGGGGGTTTGAAATATCAAGCAAATATAGTTACACTAACTTTTTGGAGGTTTTGGGTTCGAAAATGCTATAAAAACCAAGAAAAACGATCATTTTCCTGTAGTCTGGTTCCCTGACTCCATATAAGAAGAAACAGAGCAGTTTACATACATTTGGGAATTGTAAGGTCAGGGAACCAGTCTAGCTGGCTCGTACCCGTTCATAGGTTTGTAATCGATTGCAATCAAGTGCAATGGTCAATTGGGACCAGTATTTGAAAAAAAAGCCAGTTGTTTCCAACGCTGATCGGCCGATCAGCGTTGGAAATTGATACAAAAATACCACTTTTCTTGAAAATGACAGTATACCAGGTGCCATAATTTTACAGGATGCTTTAGACTGTCATTTACCAACATCCTATTAAGGTATTTTGCAAAAACTTGGTAGTTTTATTTTTCGATGTTTGCAAATGTTGTATATTCCCTTTAAATAGCTCCCTCGTGTGCCCTACTTGAAGTGCGCTCTCTTTTGACTGGATTTGTTGTGTTTATTTATTTTCCCTTTTTTGAAATTTCGATGTGCAAAAAGGTTTCTTAAAATGTACATTTTGTACTTTTTAATTTTATTTGAAGTAATATGTTTTTAAGAAATTGCTGGAAAGTTTATATAATTTTTTTTTCATTTATAAGGCTTTATTTATGCAATTTATGGTTGTAAAGTGTGCAAAGTAAAATCAACACAATAAATATAAACATCACTGAGAAGAAGAGAGGCGTCTGCAAAAGGGAAAGGAATGGCTGGGATAAAGGTATGTTTTCTATTTTTTACCTTTTACTTTTTGTTGTGTTCATTGTTCATTGTTCATTTATTTTCCACAGTGTCACATTTTTTAATTATAGTAGTTAATACAAAAAGGTACTTTATAGACAGATGGTGACACTGTAGAGGAACCTACTAAGAAGCTAAGCTTGTAATCGTTGGCCGCTTGTATACACATTTAAAGTTGCTTTTAATGCATAAAACACAGGATAAACAATAGACAAGGACAATACACGAACTTTACATGCCAGTTAACAAGCAGGATAAGATTTGTAGCATGAGCAATCTCGAAGTTAATGGGTTACACACGACAAAAATAATTATGCAACAGGGTCGATATATATTTCCGTTTCAAAGTAGACAAATATTTAGATGTTTTCAGGTTCTCGGTAAATGAGTTCCACAGCCTGGGTCCCTCATATCTAATAGAATTTTTGGCTAAAGATGTGCGAGTCAATGGGAGATGAAAATTAGAGACTTGACGAGTATAATGGGAATGAACATCCAAATTCCGGACAAAGACTGAATGAATGGAAGATGGTGAGGTGCCAGAAGCAGATTGAAATCAGTAAAATTAATTATTTGAAGAGCCTGTTGAGATTACCGAGGGAACATGCTCCCCAAGCTAGAATACCATTACTGAGGTACGACAATATTAATGTATTATACAGGGAAACTAAAATTGTGGGAGGGATAAAGTATTTGATCTTGTTGATAACACCTGTTTCTCGCAATGCATGATTTTACATAAATAATCTATATGATTAGTCCATGTTAATTTAGAATCTATAATCCAAGAAATTTAAGACAATCAGCTTTTTCGGTGACCATGTCATTAATTCCCCCAAATCAAAGGTGATTTGGGAGTCCGCGAAAGGACGATACTTACCTGTTAAACCTACAATTTGCATATTTCTCTAGGCCTTAGGCTTCCACGCTAGATTTTAATACCACACAAGGGCGCCCGCCCCCGCTCCCGCCTACGGCCAACTCGTCCTCTTTTCTCTAGTATCTAACCTTAGGGCAAGCCACCGTGGGGAAGGAGGGGGGGGGGGGAGGTTTAACAGTTAAGTATCGTCCCTTCGCGGACTCCCAAATCACCTTTGATTTGGGGGAGTCCACTTCAGGGACTCCCTTACCTGTTAAACCTACAATTTGCATAGACTAGCACCGAAAAATGGATGGTGGGCTTCAGAGCGAGCCTATCCAAAAACCACGCTTCGGGAAACCTAAACCTTGTCCCTTCACGTTCTCCCTAACCAGTGGTGTACATGGCAACTTACAGAACTCACCAGTAACTGGTGTTCTCTCCTGACCCTGAGGGAACATCCCATCACTCCCGGGTAGAACCTCCCCTGGCTGCACCTACTGAGATGGCTGTACGGCCTGTCCGTCCTTCTGCTTGGAGAACATCCCGCAGGTAGCAGGCCGTGAAAGTTGACGGTGTTTTCCAGGCGGCTGCCTGTAAACTGTCCACAATAGGGACCCCCTTGAAGTAAGCCCATGACGTTGTCATGGCTCTCGTGTCATGTGCTTTGACCGGATTGGTTGGTGACTTCGGCCAGTCTTTGACTGACGCTTGGATAGCCGTAACAATCCACCGGGAAATAGAGTCTGCCGACACCGCCCCGTGTGGTTTATTTGTTGAAATGAATAGTTGGGTGGTTTCTCCTCTTCAGGTTTTTGTTCGAGCCAAGTACCATTTCAGTGCTCGAACTGGACACCATAATTTATCTTGTGGGACGGAGGAAAACCCTTTAAGATCCGGAACAAAAATCGGTGGGGGGAAGAAGGATGGAGATTGATTCTTTGTTAAAAACCCATGACGAGGCACCAGTCGTACCCCGTTGGGTTCCCATCGGATATGCCCCGGTTCCACCGAAAGGGCATGAATCTCGCTTCTTCGTCTAGCCGTGGCCGTGGCTAACAGGAAGACCGTTTTGACGGATAAGTCGAACAAAGAGGCGTTGGACATAGGTTCATATGGCGGTCCCGCCAAGACCTGAAGGACCTGTGCCAGATCCCAAGACGGAACCAGCTTCTTAGTTGGAGGCCTCTCAACGAACATCGCCCGCATGAGCTGAGTCAGGCTAGCATTATCCGACACCGTAGATCCATCCGGGAATCCCTTATGGACAGCTGCTATGGCTGATCTGTAGCCCCGAATAGTGGATACCGTTATATCCTCATGGAACAGGTGCATAAGGAAGTCTCCTACCACTGCTAAAGGTGTTGTGCATGGATCATGAGTTTGTTCTTCACACCACCTATGATAATGTCGTAATCGGCTGTCGTAAGTTCGACGGGTAGACAGTCTGCGGCCTTGGGCTGCCAATGAGGCAGCGTCTGCTGAAAGGCCTGCTGATCGCAGTGACTGCTCGACAGCATCCAAGATGTTAAGTGAAGCGACTCTATCCCTGGGTGCGGAATCAGAGGCCGCGGCTGACGCAGCAGGTCTGGTCGCCCCAGAAGAATTATCGGTGGGTTGCACAACAGCCTAACGATTTTCTGAAACCAAGGCTGGCGCGGCCAAAAGGGAGTGATGAGAATGACTCTGCACTCCTCTGTCTCGACCTTTGTCAATACTCTTGGCAGGAGCGAGATTGGTGGAAAAGCGTATGCCAGCATGCCCTTCCAACTGATGGAAAACGCGTCTGCAGTCCATGCCTTTGGGTCCTGGTTGCGTGCGCAATACACCGGTAACTGATGGTTCAGTGCCGATGCAAAAAGATTGATGTGAGGACGATCCAATACTTGGAAGATCGACTGAACTACTGTCGGGTGAAGAGTCCACTCCGTTGGAAGGACCTTCCCCCGGGACAGAGCGTCCGCCATGATATTCAGTTTCCTCGCCAGGTGGACCGCTGTAAGCGTAACCTGTCTCGCTTGACACCACAGCAGGAGCTCCCACGTGTGCATGCACAACTGCGGGGACCGTGTCCCGCCCTGGCGGTTTATGTAAGACACGACGGTTGAGTTGTCCGATTTTATGTGGACTACTTCCCCTGTCACCCGTCCGCAAGCAGTTCCGCAAGCAGTTCCAGGATATTGATGTGGCACTGTCTGTCCGCCTGGGACCGAGACCCTGCTGCTGATTCTATTCCAATATGTGCCCCCCAACCTGTGTTGGAGGCATCCGTCACCAGAGTCACAGAAGGTTGTGGTCGTGGAAAAATCAGTCCCGCCTTGACGTTTGTTCGCTGAGACCACCAGTCCAGATGGGGGCGAATCATGTTTGGGATTGGCACTGGCCATTGGATTTGGTGAATGCACGGTCGGTAGTGGGCAAGTAGATGTAATTGTAGTGGGCTCATCCGCATCCTGCATCATGGAAGCACATCCACCATGCTTGCCATTAGGCCCAATAGCCGAAGCCAGGCTATTGCCGGGGCCACGCTGGCAGTCTGGAACAGGGCGATGCAGTCCACAAGATTTTGGACTCACTCCTCGTCCCCTTCCTCGGTCGGGAAAGCCAGCCCTCGCTGGAGGTCCAACTTTGCTCCTAAGAAAACTGGGTGCATCGTTGGGTTTGGTTGGGATTTTTCGACGTTGACCAGGAACCCCAACTCTGAAATGTTGTTGCAAGTGAGTTCGAGTGCCCAACTCGTTTTCTCCTTTGTCTCCCCCACAATGAGCCAATCGTCCAGGTAAACAAAGA